TTGGTTTCAGCATACAACTGACATGGAAACCACCAGCCAGACCTGGCAAGTTCATGTGTAGACTGTCCTGAGTCTTGAGAAGGTGGGGGCTACACTTAATCTGTTCCTGGAATAAAAGAGCAGTCTGACACCAAAAGCCTTTTTTTTTTTCAACTTAAAACTGGAAGAAATGGCAATGATCAATATGGCCCCTGCACAATTCAAGGCTCCAGAGTTACTGAGTGAGGAGGGAACCATAGAGTCACCAACACTCAAATGAAATTATAAGATTTTGTACTGCAATAACACTGAATCCTCACATTTCGAAATTTAATCTCAGGTTTATGAAACAGACTATGTCACACAATTAATAGGTCAATGTCACATTTTACATTTTGCAACTGAAAACAACCAGTAACTAGCAGCTACTTTCTCAGTTTTTTCTAACAGTGAGCATAATGCCCACTTGAACATTATTTCAGGATTATCAGAAATGATGGCAAGTGCAAGACAAAGGTACTTACAACTGAATAATAATAATAATAATAATAACAACAACAACAACAACACATTTATTTTTATCCTGCCCCTCTGCGGACGCAACTGGGGCAGCTTACAACATTAAAAGTACAATACAAATGCAATACAAATCCCACAAACCCACCGACCCCTTAAAATAGAATTAAACGATAAAAGAATTTAAAACATACTTAAAATAAGTCAAAGAATACCAAGCAACAATAACAATAACTGCGGCAGAGTTTGGGAGAGAAAGATGAACTCTTGGTGCCGGGATGTCTATTCAGGAAAAGCCTGCTGGAAGAGATCCATCTTAACAGCCTTTTTAAAGCTGTTTAAGGAGGTTATAAGACAGATCTCGTCCTGCAGGCCGTTCCATGATCTGGGAGTGGTTGCTGAAAATGCCCTCTGGGCAGTTGCCAACAGCCTAGTTTTTATAAATTGCAGCAGATTCCTCCCAGAGAATCTGAGTGTGCGGGGTGGATTGTATGGAAGGAGGCAATCCTGGAGATTGGTTGGACCCAAGCCATTTAGGGCTTTAAAGGTAATAACCAACACCTTACACTATGTTCGGAAACTAATGGGCAGCCAGTGAAGTTATTTTAAAACAGGCATAATATGGTCTCTTTTTGTTGTTCCTGAGACCAACCTGGCTGACATATTCTGTACTAATTGGAGTT